TCTTCCATCACCCCAACATCCTTCACCTCGTGACTTACTGTATGAGGGAGCGGGGCTCGAAACATGAGGCCTGGCTGCTGCTGCCCTTCTTCAAGGTCAGAGGACTCTGGTTATGGAGGGGTTAGCAATAGAGCCACTTACTTAGTTGGGGTTGTGGGACCAGTCAGATGTGGTAGGAAGCAAGGACCATGTCCTTGATTTGGCTACTCATATTTGAAGTTTGTTGTTGTGTACTCTAGAGCCAGAACCGACTCAGAGCTGACCCACCAGCAGGTTGTCAGAGGCAGTAAATCACACGGGAGGAGATTGCTTTGAAACCCAAATGGGGTGCATGGGGTTGCCATGGGCCATAATCTACTTGGCGGTGCTTGTTTTGATATTTTTGTTTTAAATGGGACAGTGAACTTGGAAGGAGTCCTGGTGGTGCAATGGGTTAACTTGACAGGTTGCGAATTAAATGGTGGATAGTTGTAAGCCACCATCTGTTCTTCAGGAGAAAGATGAGCCGTCTCCTCGAAGATGTATAGCCTTGGAAACCTGATGGAGCGTTGCTATGGGTCGGACCCAACTTGATGGCAGTGGGTTAGCCATAGGTCTGGTGGTGCGGTGGTTAAAGCATCCAGCTCCTAACCAAAAGGCCTGCAGTTGGATGTGCCAGCCACTGCATGGAAGAAAGATAGGGCATTCTGCTTCTGTAAAGATTTACAGCCTTGGTCACTGGGGGCAGCAGTGGGTTTAGTTTTGGTTTAATGGAATTTGAGCTGTGTGATGACAAGATTGATGGACTTGGGCATCGAGAGCAGGAGGCTTGGGAAACGTTTCCAAAGGGGGGAAAAAAATTTGTGTTGCAGAGAGGTACGTTGTGGAATGAGATAGAAAAGCTGAAGGACAAAGGCAACTTCTTGACTGAGGACCAAATCCTACTGCTGCTGCTGGGTATCTGCAGAGGCCTTGAGGCCATTCATGCCAAGGGGTATGCCCACAGAGACCTGAAGCCTACCAATATCTTGCTTGGAGATGAGGGGCAGCCCGTCTTAATGGACTTAGGTTCCATGAATCAAGCGCGCATTCATGTCGAGGGCTCCCGTCAGGCTCTGGCTCTACAGGACTGGGCGGCCCAGCGATGCACCATCTCTTACCGGGCCCCGGAGCTCTTCTCTGTGCAAAGCCACTGTGTTATTGATGAGCGAACCGACGTCTGGGTGAGGACCATAGAGGTGGGAACCTGAGCAGAGGAGGATTGCTGCTCTGTACCCATTGTGCAATATGGGGTGGCTCTTCGGTGTCTGTTGCATGGGGCCCCAGGAACCATGGTCTGTCCCCATCCCCCTTTACTTCCTTCCTGTGAACTGTCACTGATACTGTACTAAGGAAGTGGCTTCATCCCCATCTTTGAGCAGAGTGGGTACAGCTACATGTCAGGGCAATGGTTGAGCAAGAGGTAGAGAGGCCTCCAGGTAACTGGCCGTGTCTCTAGGCCATGATGGTGCCTTGTAGTTGAGATGAGCACAGTCTTGTTAATTTATAGAGCCCCCTTTCACCACAGCTGTAATGGAGGGATATTACCTCCATGGACACCCTTCCAGAGAATAACCCAGCTATGCTCAGTCCCTAGGCTGTGTGTTGTATGCCATGATGTTTGGGGAAGGCCCGTATGACATGGTGTTCCAGAAAGGTGACAGTGTGGCCCTTGCTGTGCAGAACCAGCTCAATATCCCAGAAAGCTCCAGGTGAGCAATAAAAAGACCACCAAGTATTTCAGGTGTATTAGCTGCACTGGGGCTTAGCAGGGGTCACCCAGCAGTCCTCCTCAGCTTGCCCTCCTCCCGCTACAGGTATTCACCAGCCTTGCGGCAGCTGCTAACCTCCATGATGACCGTGGACCCCCAGCAGCGTCCCCATGTTCCTGTCCTCCTTGGTCAGGTGGAAGCCCTGCAGCCCCTACCCCCTGACCAAAGCATCACACAAATCTGAAGAAGCCAGTGTGAGCCTGCTGAGAAAGTGGACCTTTGTGCCTTGCGAAAGGTTCCTTCCTGTGCCTCATTCAAATTTCCATCTAGAACTGTTCTCTATTGGTGGGACAGGAAGAACAGGTACATGCCTCTCACCCCTGCATCTGCACTTCTGCTCCTACTCACAGGAGCAGTACCAGCTGGACAAGGTGCCTGGTTGAAGTAGGTGTATGGGGGAAGGGAAAAGGGAATTGCTAGAATGTGGTTCATAGCTTTGAGCTCTTATCATGGTCTGCCTCCAAATTGAGAGCAGGAGAATGTGTAAACAGAAGAATAAAGAGAAAGCTGGTTGATGTAGTTCCTTTTCTTATTTTGGGAGAGAGGGGATGCAGAGGCCCCAAAGTGTGGTTGTCATTTCCAGGGGGACAGCATGGAAATAACTAGCACATCAGGAAAGGTCTGACTTCTTCATTCCATGCAAGGAGGCAGGTTTGATCTCGATCTCGCTGTTTGGAAGTGGGGAATTCTAATTTATTCTTATCCCAAAACTTGAAAGCTACTTTAGGGTTTGAGCTGGCCTCTGCCTGGATCAAGAAACTATCCCATAGCCCCCTAAAAGCACACTTAACTAGTTATTTCCTTCCTCCCATGCCTGAGATGGGTAAGTTGCTGGATGCAGCCCAACAGGTTTGTCAGGTAAGGGCTTCTGGGTGGGGACTCCTGAAGAGGATTTGAGTCTGAACTCCCAGCCTTACCCCGGGGGCAAGGGGAGTGGAGGAGTCAGCCATTATGGCCTTGGTCTCCCTGGGGGTTCTAGCTCACAGATGGTTAATGATTAATGAGGCCAGGGTGGCAGTGGCGGTATCCAGCTGCCACTTCCTGCCTGTCTGCTGAGTAAACGCCCTGCCATAGCTCAGCTTGGAACCTGTTCCCTAGGGAAGGGCACTGTGTCCCTGAGTCACCAGGGAGGGGAGGGCTGGCCTCTCCTGAGATCGAAGCTTCTCCCCCAGCCCTCCAACCATGCCCACCCCCATGCGCTGACGTCAGCTTGGGTCCAGGGGTGCTTATTAGCAAAGTTGAACATTTTCCCCAGGGCCCTGGCAGGCGGCTCCCACCAGCTAGCAAGGAGGCTAGGAGGTTGGGGCCAGAAAGGAAGCACAAACAGAGGGGAGACGACCTGACTTTTAATGGAACAGCCCAAAGCCCCAGCAAAGCAGCAGGACAGTAAGCTGTGCAAAGCTTCTGGGAGGCTCAGTGGCACAAACAACTCCAGGAGATGGCCCTCGTTCCGTCCCATCCCCCAAGCTTATGACTAGGCTCTGTGCCCAGGAACTCTGGGCCAGCCCAGCCCCGCTCCCAACCCCTCAAAACACACGGAGGAGACTGGGCCAAATCTTTGCTTCCAGAGCTGGAGAATGCAGAAGCAGCAAGAACGGTAGCTGTTTTAACTTTCAAATACAAAACCCATCAGACTTAAAACTCCTACTTGGAGAGAAGTGAAGACTTGTATCCTTCAGTAGCTTGTGGCTAGACAGAAAGCCCAGGACTTTGTCCTCATTTCTTCCCTATTCTGGGTGCCCCAGGCCTTACGGTGAGGTCTTTGGGGTCAAACTTCCAGGGCCTGGCAAGGATGCCATGGCAGATCTCACCTTCAGCCAGAGGAAGGAAATGGATCATGAGCAGCAAATGGTGAGGGAGACAGCAGCAGCAGCAGCACAGAGGGGAAGCAGCAGAAGCTTAGCACTCACAGAGGTGACACGAAACCGTGCAAGGAGACTGTTTATTTGGAAAGGATTTTGAAATAAACATAGTGAACGGACTCCAGGCAGCTGCTATTCTTCCCCCTCATCCTCATCCTCATAGGAGTCGATACCCACTTCCTCGTAATCCTTCTCCAGGGCAGCCATATCCTCTCGGGCCTCAGAAAACTCACCCTCTTCCATGCCCTCACCCACGTACCAGTGCACGAACGCCCTCTTGGCATACATCAAGTCGAACTTGTGGTCCAGGCGGGCCCAGGCCTCGGCGATGGCGGTCGTGTTGCTCAGCATGCACACAGCTCTCTGCACCTTGGCCAGGTCACCCCCGGGCACCACAGTGGGGGGCTGGTAGTTGATACCAACCTTGAAGCCTGTCGGGCACCAGTCCACAAACTGAATACTACGCTTGGTCTTGATGGCAGCAATGGCGGCGTTGACATCCTTGGGCACCACATCTCCACGGTACAGCAGGCAGCAGGCCATGTACTTGCCGTGACGGGGGTCACACTTCACCATCTGGTTGGCTGGCTCAAAGCAGGCATTAGTGATCTCTGCCACCGACAGCTGCTCGTGGTACGCCTTCTCTGCAGAGATGACTGGTGCGTAGGTGGCCAGGGGGAAGTGGATGCGAGGGTAGGGCACCAGGTTGGTCTGGAACTCTGTCAGATCCACGTTCAGGGCTCCATCAAAGCGCAGGGAAGCGGTGATGGAGGAGACGATTTGGCCGATGAGCCGGTTGAGGTTTGTATAAGTTGGACGCTCGATGTCCAGGTTGCGGCGGCAGATGTCATAGATGGCCTCGTTGTCCACCATGAAGGCACAGTCTGAGTGCTCCAGGGTGGTGTGGGTGGTCAGGATGGAGTTGTAGGGCTCCACTACGGCTGTGGACACCTGAGGGGCTGGGTAGATGGAGAACTCCAGTTTGGACTTCTTGCCATAGTCCACAGAGAGCCGCTCCATG